GGGGGCATAAACCAGCAATAAACGTAAACGATAAGCGCAAACTAGGGCAAAGATGTAGTCAAATGATTGCTTCTGGCCTCCGAATCGTCCATTTTTTCTGGCCAGGATAATTTAAGAGCTTCGACCAGTTTGTGAACACAAAAGCGGTTGATACAACCGAATACTGATCGTTTCAGCTGTAGCAAGGGTGCAGAGGCGCAGGCCTTTCGATTGGAGTGGCGGAATCTTGTAGAGTATTCGAAAGGCGCGGACTGGATCGACTTTATGCCCACTATCAACTAGATGAGCCATAACAGCTAGTTATAGCCCCGGTACCGCCTCGACGCAACCAGCGTGGAAGGTGCTCATTAATGCGCTTTGACAAGTGCCGTGCCGTTCGACCGATGTAAGTAGCGCCACAGGCGCACTCGAACTGATACATGACCATAGAAGCGGTCAGCATCGGCAACTTGTCTTTGTTGCAAATGCGAATGAGGGGTTCCGTTGAGAAAGTGCACTTGAGCTTAGCAGCTGGAAAAGTTGACTTAACGGCTGTAGAAAGGCTTCTGGCTACACGTTCGGCGGCTGCGTCTCCTTTGAAAGGTAATCTTATAAATAGTTCTTTCTTCTCAGCTGTTAGAACCTGCACCGGGTCGGGTTTGTCTTGCATGTTCTTAAGAATGAATCGATCAGGATACCCGTTTTCGCGCAGCACATTTTGAATGAACCCCAACTCAGTATCCAACGTGTCTTCAGAACAAATCCTGCGGGCCCTTGTGGTTAAAGTGCGAATTAGGTTTCGCTTGTATCTCAAAGAAACGAAACTATGGAAGTTCGTATACTGGCCACTCCAGGTTTTCTTCCTGTAGACGTGCCGTTGGATCGAGCCATCTACCCTACGAGTTAACAATACATCAAGGAACGGCAACCGATTGTTCGCTTCCTTCTCGCAGGTAAACTGCAATGCTGCGTGGGCCTGATTAAAGCGTTCAATAACAGCGTCGAGGTCAGTGGACTGATCGGCCACAACAAATATGTCATCCATATAGCGATGATAGCAATCAAAGATGGTGATCTCCGCTTGTAGTTTGGTGTTCTCTAATTTTGCCATGAACACATCAGCAAGCAGCGAACCTAGTGGCGATCCCATGGCTACACCATTGAATAGGAACTGTATGTTCCAGGTGCAACGCAAAAGGAGACTCTTCAAATCCCGCAGTGATATACCTATCGTTGTCTATGTTTCGTTGATGTAGGTGCAAATGTAACCAATTGTCTCGAGAAGTGGGACGTCGGTGAAAAGCGAGACAACATCCAAGGAAAACCTTATTTTCTTACTGATGTGGTCTCTGACGCTTTCGATGAAATGAAGTGTCACGAGGGCTGTAATCTGTAAGTCGCTGTCTTACTGGGTCAAGAATTTCCACAAGCCATTACGCAACAAAGTGGTAGGGCGAATTAACCATTGATAAAATTGGGCGAAGTGAGACATCAATCTTATGAATTTTAGGCAACCCGTAAAGTCTCGGAACATTCGTGCCACTCGGCTTAAGGCTGTCATAAAGAGAATTTTAGATGTATCCGCTATTCCGAAGCTCTTGCAATCTTTTAGTAGTCTGCTTTTCGGTTCGCTCCGTTTGACCCTTTCCTGCAGTTATTCCTTTTCTCTTATCTATTCGTTTTTTGTCCAATAGAACGACCCCAGTGCCTTTGTCTGGTTTGCACAGCAAGAGCTTAACATTGCGCCTTAAATCCTTCAGTTCATCAAAGGGCTTGCGTGTCAGTGGACCATAATTTTGAACATGGCACTTACGATATGGGTAGCAGTTGTGCACCAGAGAACATTTGAAGCGTTCCAACTCCTCATTAGACTTTCCTGCTATCTCTTTTGTTTGAACAAATAGGCTTTCAAACTGTAACTCACAGTGCAGCTGATTATCTCTGTGTCTGGGGGCGCAAAATTTTTGGACCAAATGTTCTCTGGTGCACAATAGATACCAGTATCGTAAGTGCCATGTTCAAAATCATGGTCCACTGACACGCAAGCACTTTGATGAACTGAAGGACTTAAGGCGCAATGTTAAGATCTTCCTGAGCAAACCAGACAAAGACACTGGGGTCGTTCTGTTGGACAAAGACGACTATATAAACAAGCTGGAAAGAATTCTGAGTGATGAAACAACATTTTCCCAAACAATTGGAGAAAAGGATCAAACGGAGCGAACCGAAAAGCAGACTACTAAAAGATTGCAAGAGCTTCGGAATAGCGGATACATCTAAAATTCTCTTTATGACAGCCTTAAGCCGAGTGGCACGAATGTTCCGAGACTTTACGGGTTGCCTAAAATTCATAAGATTGATGTCCCACTTCGCCCAATTTTATCAATGGTTAATTCGCCCTACCACTTTGTTGCGTAATGGCTTGTGGAATATCTTGACCCAGTAAGACAGCGACTTACACATTACAGCCCTCGTGACACTTTTCATTTCATCGAAAGCGTCAGAGACCGCATCAGTAAGAAAATAAGGTTTTCCTTGGATGTTGTCTCGCTTTTCACCGACGTCCCACTTCTCGAGACAATTGGTTACATTTGCACCTACATCAACGAAACATAGACAACGATAGGTATATCACTGCGGGATTTGAAGAGTCTCCTTTTGCGTTGCACCTGGAACATACAGTTCCTATTCAATGGTGTAGCCATGGGATCGCCACTAGGTTCGCTGCTTGCTGATGTGTTCATGGCAAAATTAGAGAACACCAAACTACATGCGGAGATCACCACCTTTGATTGCTATCATCGCTATATGGATGACATATTTGTTGTGGCCGATCAGTCCACTGACCTCGACGCTGTTATTGAACGCTTTAATCAGGCCCACGCAGCATTGCAGTTTACCTGCGAGAAGGAAGCGAACAATCGGTTGCCGTTCCTTGATGTATTGTTAACTCGTAGGGTAGATGGCTCGATCCAACGGCACGTCTACAGGAAGAAAACCTGGAGTGGCCAGTATACGAACTTCCATAGTTTCGTTTCTTTGAGATACAAGCGAAACCTAATTCGCACTTTAAGCACAAGGGCCGCAGGATTTGTTCTGAAGACACGTTGGATACTGAGTTGGGGTTCATTCAAAATGTGCTGCGCGAAAACGGGTATCCTGATCGATTCATTCTTAAGAACATGCAAGACAAACCCGACCCGGTGCAGGCTCTAACAGCTGAGAAGAAAGAACTATTTATAAGATTACCTTTCAAAGGAGACGCAGCTGCCGAACGTGTAGCCAGAAGCCTTTCTACAGCTGTTAACTCAACTTTTCCGGCTGCTAAGCTCAAGTGCACTTCCTCAACGGAACCCCTCATTCGCATTTGCAACAAAGACAAGTTGCCGATGCTGACCGCTTCTATGGTTATGTATCAGTTCGAGTGCGCCTGTGGCGCTACTTACATCGGTCGAACGGCACGGCACTTGTCAAAGCGCATTAATGAGCACCTTCCACGCTGGTTGCGTCGAGGCGGTACCGGGGCTATAACTAGCTGTTATGGCTCATCTAGTTGATAGTGGGCATAAAGTCGATCCAGTCCGCGCCTTTCGAATACTACAAGGTTCCGCCAATCCAATCGAAAGGTCTGCGTCTCTGCACCCTTGCTACATCTGAAGCGACCAGTATTCGGTTGTATCAACCGCTTTTGTGTTCACAAACTGGTCGAAGCTCTTAAATTTTCCTGGCCAGAAAAGATGGACGATTCGGAGGCCAGAAGCAATCATTTGATTACATCTTTGCCCTAGTTTGCGCTTATCGTTTACGTTTATTGCTGGTTTATGCCCCCGGTTGGCACGTGATCCAATTTCATTTGAACTGATCGAAACCACTGTTACTCCCATTGTTCTTTCCCCATATGATTGTAAAGGTCTGACGAGGAATTCATCGAAAACAATTGTTTACCTTCGGTCCCTTTTTCTTGGTGATTTTGATGGCACTTTACTGATCCATCTTAGTCGCTGAGTACTGTTTCCCCAGAGTTACCCTAATGACATTATGCAGGATGTTAAGTCAGTCGAAGGATAAAAACGTACGCAGCACGTTCCTTCGAACCGGAAGTTTCACTTGGATACTAATGACCGACTAAGTTGTCACATCTGCAAGATCATTAACCTCTTTCCGTGAGAGAGTTTTTGTTCCTCTCTGTATTCACAATAACAGCCAGTAGGTCGGCTCTTGGTATTTTGTGGTTTCGGTTTGGAAACGATTTTTTTGCTGCAGTCTAACGCCTACAAAATGCGACGATTTAGCCGAACAATCAAATGAGGACTTAGTTCCACCTAATGTTCTATCATAACGGAGACGACAAACCAACCGATGAACAAGTTGCTGCGACGCCCAGTTGATTGAGAGCAATTCGGTTGTTTCTGGAGCACAAAGTTGATCATACAATGTTGATCGATCAATCACAGTTACCTCTTGTAAAACTTTCCGACCATTCCAAGCTAAGCAGACGTCAAGAAACCTATGCATTCTGGGCGTTCACACACCATCCCTATTAGTTATCAGTATACCATCTAAATAGCCGATAAGCACTGCACTATTGTGTGCTCATCAAAAAGTACTTAATTAACTGATTATGCCTATTTAGGTGTGTCTCTTGTGTATATGTGGCTAAGGAGCTGAAGAAAACTGCCCATTCGTTCAACTTCATACCGGCGAAATAAAACCAGGGGAATCTGCTTCTAGAGCTGCGATTCAAATAGATACGGGATACCTAAGCTCCTGGATGTCACAGGTGGCGTGTGTGCGCGCGTGTGTGTTGAATCACCCACCCGCGTCATAACCCGTTTAAATCCGATGCAATACGCAGGCAGTCTCGGCGAACAATGTGACCATACTTTACAAGAGAGAGAAACAAGTATGAAAAAAACACGATTGAAGGGTGCGACGTGTGCAATCGACACGTAATACCAAGCTGGCTTGCTCCAAAGATCAGTACAAATTTGCCTAACAATGACACTGTCTGCTCGACTAACCATGCTTGATAATATTTCCTCCGGTTTTGTCTGTCCAGCCGCTACATAAAAAACCAACAAAGTGTCGGTTGTGCGACAAGGTAGTTGATCCAGCGCTCGGATATGCTTCAAAAAACCAGGGGTACGTGGATCCAAGGGCAGAAACCCGGGACACTGTTGCAGCGGTGGATTTTGCGTCACCGAAGACGGCATAGTGGTTGCGAAATTGCCCGAAGCCAGAGAGACGCTATGCTTCTCTAAGTCTAATCCCCAATGCAACTCAGGCTCTATCATGAAGAATGTATTGATAGACAGGTAGCCCAGATGAGTAAGCAACAGACGAGAAGGTTCGATTGAGGTTTTCATGCTAAAAGAATCAATGGACAGCACAGTGATCAGAAAAGCGAACGGGAAATCAGTGACATAACAGGTAGATACAAGGGCTTATTAGCTCTCACCGTGGGGGTAAGGCTTCAGTCGTTGGATCAGGATAAGAGGAGGCTAAACGCTTTTTGAGGTGTGCATGAGCAATTTCTTTCACATGCATGTGTTGCTCTGAAATGATGGATTTCAAACGATCAACTTGTTCTCGTGAGTGGCTACCAGGCATGCCACCGAAATGTTCTAACGTACCGATGGAGAAATCACTGCAAAGAAGAGGTGGATAAAGATTTGCAATTAAGAAAGAAGAAACCAGTGGACAAATGAAATGCGAGTAGCAAGGCAAATACTTACGCGTCAACCAATGGAATATCTTTGATGCTCTCAGGAAAGCTGGGGATTATGGAGTTCTCATTTCGAGAAATTGTCGCGATGAGCTTCTCCAGAAAGCAACCCCAAGGTTTCGGTCTGGGTAGATGTGCGTCGCACTTCGTGTTCGTGGTCTGTGTATTACCAAGTGGTGAGCGACGCATCGAAGCTGCCCAAAAATAGCGTCCAAAAGCGCTACGGATTACCATAACTGTCTCCGCCGAAGGATGATCGCTGGACGGATTACCATGACAACCATGAGACGCGAGAATTTCCTTGCATTGTGCCAACTCTAACACACCGAGAATTACACCAGGTTCGGACCAATAATACCGAAATTGCATTCGCAGTTGCTCGATTAACTCCGATGAAGGATCAGTTATGTCTTTCAAGAGAAGTCGAATGAAATCATCCTCGACTAAAAGCGTTGAAGTTGTGGCCGACCCAGTAGGACCAGGAAAAGTACCCGCGAGAGATATTAGTGTGAAGAGACATGACTCAGCGGCGTCTTGGACACGCTTTGACGCCGGTGTGAGCTGTTTTTCCGACTTTGGTATAGGTTGTTGTGATGGTATCTAAAATAAGATACGGTTTAACCAGAATACGGAGAAGGAAACAATGAGGAATGGAAAAGCCACTCAAAAACATGACGAAAATAATAGACATGACAACATACGTGAACCAATGTCACCGGAAAAAGCGAAAAGGTAAACAAAGTAACAACAATACGAAGGGATAAATATCATGCAGTTAGTTTAAATGAACCTGGACCTTATCTCATTACGATGTGTGACAGATGATGAGAGAGATAGAGAGCTGCTCCAACTTCGACAAACAAAACACATTTGGGAACGTTCATCAATACGGAGCTCAGAACATGTTTGAAAAAATAACGTACATGCACAAGGTTGGACAACTGTCGGAGGAACAAGTGTTAGAACTATTGGTGGAGCAAACGGTGTGAGCCACGGGGGCTGAGGTTTAAGGTGAACCGCCTAAAACACTGTTGGCGATGCGATGTGTGAACGATTTACTTTAATGAATTTGCATCACTGATAAAAGGTCCGGATAAATCCAGGTTGGAAGAACAAACTTAATGCACTTAAATCCCACGTATGACACTGCATGTAAACGTGTGGATGAATGGAATGTAAAAATCGATAGGACGGGATTCCACCAGCAACCTTTGTCCAATCGGATTGTAGTAAACTGAAAGAGGGAAACCAGAGACAAAATGCTGAGCAGGAAAATTAACTGGGCTATCACGTAAACCGCGATCCGAAAGTAGACAGTTGTATAAAGTGGTAGTCACTTATGCAACTGCTAATGAGCTGGGATACAAATCATTTAAACAGGACAAAATGACCAGCGTACCGGTTATCGGTTGAGAGTACTTTACTAGTGCAAAGCATCGTAATATCATCGGTTGCATATATGTGATTGAGAAGAATAGTTGAGTGCATCATCCCAAGACCGTACGCTATTCTTAGCGAATATCAAAGAATGGTCGGAAAGATAGAGTGAACAAATGCAGAAACAGAGAGGAAACCACGAACCTTGGACTTGCGGCCACTTATCCCTAACTCGATGGTACTCAAAGCAAGCTGAAGACAATCGCGATCCGGCAAAATAAGTCGTGCATGTCTTACGAGCCAAGTGGACAGGCAGGCGTACGCAGCAACAATGATGCTATGTAACTGGCGCTTGTGATATTTTGATTGCACTTGACACTGTTTGGAGATGAATTCGCAGATGTGTCTCACCGTTTCGCGGTCTGTGAAGACAACCAAAAAAGTGTGAAAAGTAACTCACTACACCAACGTAAACAAACAGATGATGTGGAAATCGACACTATCATCATAAACATCCGTAGGGAGTTTCATCTTGTTAACTCACCAAACCTGGCATACGCTGATTGAATGATGAAACCGCACTTCCACTCGGCAACTCACCTCGCACGTCCCAAACATAAAGGTTTTTCGGCATAAAACGACGACTGCTGTGCACCAGGCTCTTCCGTTACTGCCTGACGCAAGAGTTACGCTGATTGTAGCACTGCATCAGATTAACTATCACCATAGTAAAAAACACGTTTACTAAGAGATCTTTTTCGGCAACTCACATCAGGCAAATACGTTTACAAGCACAACTGGGATACTCATGAGCTAATGAAAGCGGAAGCGAAAGCATGAGAGAGTCTGAATTTATTCGGACGGAAGTTCAATTGATCGGGCCAATTGGTAAAGCATGTGTTGTCGATGAAAGCTGATCTTATTTGACCCCATTTGACACAGTTTGCTGACCACTTCGCGAAGCAAATTGGGTCAGCAGAGAAGTGATGCCACCTTTGATCTCATCAATGTTTCATGCGGATGGATCCTTATCACGGCCACGACGGCGTGAGAGATTGCATTAACATCCTCTGCTTACAAAAATCCGGTTGCGTTAACTTCATCATCATCATCATCATCATACACGTTAGCTAGAGGTGGGGAACACCTCAGCTACTGTGCCGCAATACAAAGAAAAAAAATGAGAGAAAAAGAAAACAACTGGTGAAAGCTGCCTGAGCTACCGGTAACGGATGGGCATCGTTCCGGTAAGCTACCAGCCGGCTGCTGTGCACCAAAAAAATTATTATGCAAAATCTTAATCCCCTTAGCATACCGTTTTGACACGGTGTAGAAAAGGTTGAAGGCATCAATGGTAAGAATTTCGTGTCTACTTTGAACCAGATGTTCAAGGATGAAACTTTTTGTTACTTCCGGCAGTGCGTTTTCGTAGAGACCCGGGACAGTGCTCAACAATAATGGTTGACAGACGGATGGTTGTATGACCGAGGTACTTAGCACCACAGGTGCAAGTAAATTGATATACCAGGTATGATTCGGACTTGGCCGGTAATCTGTCTTTGAGGCGCTGAGTAATAAACGGAGTGGTCTCAGCAAGAATGTGTGGATTTGCAGCTGGGTATGTGCTTGTCACTGCAGCGGAAAGTCTTCTGTTCAGTAGATCGAAAGCGGTCACCCATAAAAGGAACCGTGAGAAACACATCTTTTATGGGAACTGTGATGACAGGTTCACTGCGTTCACGAACAACAGCATATTTTTTGATAAAAGAAGAGGGATAACGGTTTGGGAGCAACGTAGTAAATATGTGCTCTTTCTCGTCTGCTAGTGTCTCGTGGCTGCGGATTTTGGAGGTGCAGTAATACATGCAGCGGACTATGTTACGTTTATACCTCAGAGGCAGGAAACTCAGGAAGTGCGTGCACTGTCCAACCTAAGTACCCTTTCGAAATACCTTTCTCTCAAGAGAGCCGTCTTCCCGTCTCACCAGTAACACCTGCAGAAACGAAGCTTTTCTTCTTTTTCGGTTTCTTTGGTGAAATTCAATGATGGCTGTGAACCGTTGCCTTGATCGAGCAAACCAACTAAATCAGTGCTCGAATCACAGAGAACGAACGTGTCATCCGTACACCTGCAGTAGAAATCCAGTGAAGCAATAACAGCTTGGTTAGGACCGCGTTCAAGTTTTGCGAGGAAGACGTCGGCAAGAAGAGGTAATAGGGGGCGAACCCATCGCGACTCTGTCAATATGCCGATAATAAATTCTATCAAACAGGAACTGTCTGTTAAAGGTGCATCGCAGGATTAGTTCCTTTAGTTTCGGCATTGGAATACCAACATTTATTTGTTTTTCGGCTATGTATTCCCAAAGAAAGTTGACTGTCTCTAACAATGGGACGTTAGTGAAAAGTGATTCCACATCAAATGAGAGCATCACTTTGCAGTCTACCTTCAAGTCTTTAAGTTTTCCAACAAATTCAAACGTATCTCTTATAGAGTGAATGGATAGTGCATTACGTACAGGTTCCAGTAATTCGACAAGCCACCTTGCAGCAGAGTGAAAAGCGGATGACGATGTATCAATCACAGGACGTCAGGGGACATGTGGCTTGCGTACTTTAGGTAAACCATAAAGCCGGGGTGGTTGAGAGTTAACAGGAGTTAATCGATCAAATATAGAGTCGTTTATCACATGCAGCTGTTTTAATTCCTTCAAGAGTTTTGTAACGTCAGTTTCATCTTTAGCGGTCCTGTCTTTCTGGACTGTATCACGCATGAACTTGTTTGAGACTGGCCAAATAACGTGAAGATTGGCGACATACTCGGACCTGTCCATTAACACCCATCCCGATCCTTTACCTGGTCTAGAAAGGATGACGTCAGGATTCGATCGTAATGCTTTAATAGCTCTCGATGTTTCTTGATCAGGATGTTTGACGACCTTTTCTCGTAACAAAGGTACTGTTGACAAATATGCACCTATGCGGTTTTAAGAGTCTTGGGCAAGGGAAGACGTGAGTGTTAATTCAGTCAGTTGGTGCATTAATTTTTCAAACTGGGTTTCTAGGTGGACTTGACCACAACACGGGTGAGTTAAGCAAAAGTTCGGATTAAGATAATTTAAGCGAAACTTTGAGTGCCATAAACGTTTCGGTAAAAACTAATGTATCCAATAATCAGTGAAAAATGTCCGCAGCCATTTCTCGATATAAAACCGGACCCCAAGGGTAGTCGCTTGATTCCCCATAGGCCAATTGCGTCCGAAATGATGGGACGGATTACTGGGGTTCGTATGACGCCATTCGGCAACAGTAGGTGGGTAACGACGATTTGCTGCCATACTATCATCCTCGACTCCAAATGCGCTGGAAGACTAGGGGATGCACCGCACCTACACAGGATTAAGCCAACGATCTGTAGTCAACAAAGATGACACATGAACCATTCGATCATGGACTGACTCTTGAGAGCGTTCCGTTTGAGTAGTAAGGCAGCTGGACAACAACGTTTTCACTAAATTAACCGACTCTAGTGATGTGGCTGAATTTACTTCCGTGTCAGCGACTACTGCTACAATTGAAATCTGTGGGATATTAGAGAAGCGACAATATGTGGGTTTGGATCTAGTTGTACGTACAACTAACACGTCAAAGTAGGTGACTATATCTGTGAGAGAAGAAAAAACTCTGGTGACATTTCGACCGGTTGTGGTTCGAGGGCAACTTCAGTTAATTTTCTCCAGGTTGGTGTTTGTCCAAGCTTTATGAAGTAGCGGTAAACGTGGCTAACAATCCTGAGGAGCTGACGCATAAAGAGCAACTCACTCCATGAAAGCCCATTGTGCACTCCCCCTAAGGTTATCCGTCTCAGTTGCCCTTCGCTCGCAGTGTCCATCAAAGCCGAATGGTGTTTCTGCGACCCCGGGGAAAGTGGGAAGATTCAAATGCCAGAATGCCTCCGAAAGGGATCACCATGTTGTACCCTGGTTTTTGTCGCTCATCCAGATCGTTTCAAGCAATTGAGGTCATCCTCAATCAATGTCTTGAGATTATGCTATGGAAGGATTTTTTGTGAAAGTTGTTTCCTGTCATATATTGCCAGTTGTCCAGTGACGCATAGAGATAGACGAAATTGCTCTGTCCGAGGTAAGCTGAAGCAGACTGCTCGTTGCCCATTCGAAAGCACCATGCAGATACCATGGACTATCAATGGATTACCATACCTTAATATTCCGGTAAAAAGTAATGCATCCTGGTAGGGGTAAGAACGAACATGTAGACTGCTGTTCATATGAATGTAAAAGCAATATATATGCGATTTCAATCGTTGTGACGGATCGTTACATATGTTGCTCCAACACATTTTGGGTGTAATCAATTTCCAGCACAGTAATCCACGATGAAGTGCTTCCTTATTTGGACTCTTCAGGTGGGAATATTGTCGGGAGTTCTAGCCGGAGAGTTATATACCATTAGATTTTCGAAATTCAAAGCTAAAGCCTGCGAGAACATGAGACCTCTATATACTTCAGATACCAGCCCAATAATTGCACCAACCTAGGTTCACGAAACAGTTAATGACAGCACAAAGTGAGATTGTGTGTTCCAATTGATACATAGTAAACTTCGTACATAATTTTCGTTAGAAAATGTTACGTCTCAGGAAAAGACACTTACAAACCATTGGATCCGGTGGAGATATGCGGACAAATGCGATGGCGTTGAGCACTTCAAGGAGATGCTGAATCACAGAGTCAGAGCCCCATTCACTGAACAGAAGTGAGTACAAGCAAGGCACCAGAGTGTTGAAAAAGCTTGATGCGGTATCTGAAAAATGAAAGTGAATGTAACTGTCTGCGTGTGGGATTCGAAGTAACCGGGACCATAGTAGGGATACGAAACCGGAGATAGAAAGTCCCTTGAGTGGAAAAGCTGCCTATGTAGTACCTGAACAGCTGACGAAACGAGATTATTTGAGAGAGAAAATGAAGCTCAGTGATGAATACGCCCCACTGAGTAAACTGAGTGGGCGGATATGGGGTCACTTAGAGAAAAGTCAGATCCGACAGGCATTACTGTAACTTGTGTTCCATGGCAGAAAAAGTGGTCTACAGGATGTATGGCAATGCACTAGCGCAAAGTCACCGAATATACACCGGAAAAAGGAGGATGGTGTAGAAGAGCGACCGGTTACTTTATTCCTGTAAGCGGAATTGAGATATCCACATTTCAGAGGAACCAAAACAACAATCAGCAGAATATAGATTGATATGAACCGGACAGTTTGCCATTTTAAATGCTTTAACTTTATGCCGTTTGGATTCAACTTCTAGTAAGGATGAGTATTCGGAATGGATATACTGATGCAAACAAATGCAGGGTCAGCTCCAGAAATGAGCTGCCCCCGGCGAGATGACTTCTTAGATATGCCAAAAGGTTCGTCAGGCAAATCACAAGTGATGCGGTACGACAATCTACAAGTGACTCACTGACAGGATAAACTTGCGAACTTACGTAAACCTTTACGGTCAACACGATCCTCACCGGACCTTAGGGACAAATGACGTTTGGGATGTTCCGCTTCGTCGGCAGCGGTGTCTTCCAGCAAGGCGAGGCTTACACCTACAGTGAATGAAATGTGGATGGAAGCGCATCGAGGCACGCAAGCACGTAGTACGACGAAATGAGAAGAGCAGACAAGAATTTGGTGCCGGTGCGACATAATGACATAAAACAAACAGAGAGCGAGTATTAAATGAACACACACACATGGGCACGGACTACAAAGGAGTGCTCCAAGAGATTAGGACGACTCGGATCATTTATGTGGAGGAACAACCAGCTAAACACCATATAGTCAGAGAGATTTGCGAAATATCTCGGAACACAACAAATACTAGCTAGTGTGACGAACAAGGTCGATTCAGCCAACACGTCCAACTAAGGGTTCTAGCCAGAGAAGCTCTAACAACGAAAAGGTGGTATGGAATAAAAGTGGAACAAGGTATTCTTTAAGCAAAAAATGCTGATGAATAACAAGTTCCGTAGGACAGGCAACATGAAAATTGTTAAATAAAGAGTAAACATGTCAGCAAAAATAAAACGCGTATCACTGAACTCGACACGATGCTGAGGGAAAAACAGAGACAAACGCACCCACATCGAATGTATGCGGGAAATCTAATGACACACCGTCTGTTTACGCCAAGTCGATTCCGGAAGAAAATGGGACAAATCACACAATACAGATAAATCAAAGCACTAACAAGCCAGTGGAGAAAAAAAACAAGTTAGAGGACGGCTCTAAAGCTTATAAAATCGAAGAAGTACTTCCGGTGACGTTCCAAGCAGTTAGATTGTGTGAACATCGGGTGGCAGAAGCGGCAATGAATGAATCTGGAGCGCTGAGGACCAAGTGCATTGTCATCAGTTCATCCAGTTGACGTGGATATGGACTGGTAAATGTCAACTTGGTATTGGGAAGTTGATCCACTAGGATGCCAATACCGAGAAGAGGTGGATCTATTTGTCCAGATTAGCGTCGTGACGACAGATTGCCATTATGGCAAGCTGTCGTCGCCCGTTTAATATCTCCAGCGGTGTGAGACAAGGATGCCCGCTGTCACCTTTCCTCTTCAGCTTCGCTACTGAAGAAGTAATAGAAATCGCGTTCACAAGACACGACTTAGAAGGTGTGGATTTGATCCCAGGAGAACGACCTTCACTTGGAGTATGCAGATGATATTGCCCTCACCTGTTACAGTTCACAAACGTGCCAAGCGGCACTGGACAGATTAGCACTGGCTGTCCATCACCTCGGGCTTTGCTTCGCACTCTCGAAGTGCAAAGCGTTCCTCCAAGATTGGCCTGGACCGCCTCCTACGCTGAACCTTGTTGAGGATCAGCTAGAAGTCGTTCAAAAATTCAACTACCTGGGAAATTGTATCAGCACCAGTGGGATTGAAGATAAGATGATAAAACTGTCTACCAAAAGTTCAAAGCGCTTTTGCTAACTTTCGCCACTTATGGCGCCGGCGCGACATCACTTTCGCCCTGAAGGGTAGAGTATACAATGCAGCGGTACGTTCGACCCTACTGTACGGTTGTGAAACCTGGCCCTTTAGATCAGCGGACATAAAGAGGCTAGTTACGTTCGACCACCGGTGCCTGCGCGATTTAGCTCACATCTGGTGGGAACCCTGAGTAAACAATGAGCGTGTTCGACGTCCTGTTTACGGCATAAGAAAAGGAAATGACTCGCTCAGCACGGTCATTTCACGCACCAGGCTCCGATGGCTCGGCCACGTGTTATGCATGCCAGTGCACCAACTCTCGCGAAGTGCGTTGTTTGCGCGCCGGTGTGCATGGAAAAAGAGCAGAGGTGGCCAAGCGATGAGTTGGTCGAGAGGAATGAAGGCCCTCACTTCGAGGCTACCCTCGGCTCCCTGATTGGGGTCCAAAAGACGATGAACACGTTTGGCTGGATACAAGTGCTGATATGGCTAGGAGCCGACCTCAGTGGCGTTCGTGCTGTGAGTTTCTTTGTCCCACCCCCTCCAACCACGATCTCACTATTGAGCCTTATATAATTTTGCATAGTAATTTTGTTGCTGCATAGTAGCCGGCAGGTAGCTTTCCGGAACGATGACCATCCGTTACCGATAGCTCAGCTGGCTTGTACCTGTTGCATTTCCCCCTTTTTCTTTTATGTATTGCGGCGTAGTAGCCAAGATGTTTCCCACCTCTAGCTAACGTGTAGAATGATGATTAGCGTCGCTGGGACAGCAATCTTAAACATAACGAAGATCATGACAACAAAAGGGAAGGCAAAAAAGAAATTCGCCATATGGGGTAGTTAAGGCCGGGAATAAAGGGAGGAATGCAAGGCAAGAACAAACAGCAGAACACCGGCACATCGCATCGATGCGTCGCGACCGCGCATGGGTTGGGTAATACTGCGAGAGTGCCACCATGACGTGATGGGTTTTCGCCTGCAAGCGTTCTCCCTAGAAAAAGCCACAAATGTCCGTATAACAACATTGCGGGTGTGATTCGCCACCGAATAAAGTCACAGCCAATCGGTTCACACTGGCAAGCTGACCAGGACCACATATTACCATGCTTTATACGTCCCGACAATTTCCTATCTGCTTATTTCGTCGCCATGTCTCTTCCTGCGCATTCACCGTTGTTCTTTACGCCACACTCACATGACCTTGACCCCATGTGTTTCCTGCCCTTTGTCTGCTTGTTCTTGTGACTGAGTTGGTCGTCAGTTCTGGTCGTCTAGTCACTCGTTCCACCGGATTCAATCAATCAAGTTGGCGGTCGTTCGCCAGTAGTGTTACGTTAACTGCGTCTAGTTCGGTGTGTCGATTGATTGAATTCGTAATAGAGAACCAGAATGGCAAAAACTCCCTCCCATGTTTCATACTTCCATGTGCTAGGATCTTTACATTCTCTGGATCGAAATGGTGACCTTCTTGATCTTCATGCGCAGAAACCAATGAGTGCGGATCATGCATTCTGACGGCCGCCTTGTGTTCGATGATTCGTGTACAAAGCTTTCTTCCAGTTCGTCCAACATAGTTTTTAGCGCAGTTGCTGCATTTTATCTGGTAGATGACACTGCATTGGTCGACTTGATTGACTTTATCTTTGGGTCTTGAGATCAATTTTCTTAGGGTGGCACTTGGTTTGTGATCACCAGTGATTCAATGTGACTGCAGCAATCTTCCTGTTAGTTCGGAGACGTTCTTGATGCAGGGGAGCACTATCCGTTTGTTTGCTAGCTCGGGTGACTGCTGCTGCTGTTGCTGAGCTTTAAGCTTCTGCTAATGAAAGTTCTCGGATAACCGTTGTTGCTAAACACACGATATGGGCAATTTTCTTCCTGTTTCCGCGATCCGGCTGTGCTGTAGTGCGTTTCCACTTCTTTGAACAAGGTTTGAATGCACCTCTTCTTGTGAGTCATCGGGTGGTTACTGCGGTGGTCTAATATCTGGTCAATATGTGTTTTCTTCCGATATACGGACGTTTGCAGAGACCTATCGGTATTCCTAGAGATCAGTAAGTCCAGAAATGGTAACTTGTTATCCGCCTCTAAGTCAATTGTAAATTTAAGATCCTCGAATGTGCTGTTGAGCAAATGGTGCGTAGCACGTACTCTGTTCCGTTTTACGATCGTATCCAGAGTGTTGGGCTGATGGATGGCAGTGCACAGCGCTCCAATTTCTACATGACGGCTGCTGCAATGAGCCCCGAAATTGGGGATCACAGGATGTTCTCAGTTGCTCGTACACTTCTCCAGCAAAGCGGAAATAAGTGGTCATGCAGAGATGCAGGAGTTCATAAAAATTTTCAGGTCGTATGGTTGCCGTTGTGTTTAGTTCATTTTCACGTAGTTACAACATGGTATCTTAGGCCAATTCGTGATCGACTGAAGTGAAGTGTGCAGCGACATCGAATGAAAGCATTATTTCGTCGTCTTCTATTCTAATACCCTGCAGTTTGTTGTAGAATTGTTCAGCATTGTTGACGCTATGTTCGTATTCAGCAATCAAAGGTTTCAACCTCCTCCACAAATCCTTCGCTAGGTTATAGGATGGCGCTCCGGGGAGCGAGACGATTGGTCGTAGTGGGACTCCATCCGTGTGTACTTTTGGTAGTCCATAGAACAGTGCAATGCTTATGTCATCAGCTTTCATTCTCCATCTCTCGGTGGTGGTGAATTGGTTCTTTGTTTGTAGTTTCTGTCGGCGTTGCGTTAATCTGGTTGACCAGTTTGGAACTTGGATCTTGATCGATCTGGCGATATGTAGTTGTGCCGGATAGATGTTCCTCGGTTTTTTAATATACTACGGTTTGTCCATTATCACTGTTAAGTCCTCCTTATTGACCGATTTTAAACAGAATAAAGAGGGTTGGGAGATGCAAAGTGAAATGGTATTTGAGAACTGAAGAATGACCTAAGTTCCTTACAAATATGCAGAGAAAAGAGAGAAAGCGTCAGAAAAATGGGAGGTAGAAAACAATAACCGCAGGCCTACACTAACGCACAATACCATTAGTGTTCATTCAGTGTGGATATACTCGAGATCATCTACCTACAGCCATTAACAGAACAGTCTGAAACACAAGGCGATTCGGATCATAATCATCGGAGAAATGTGGCTACAGTTTTCTACGGATAAGAAGTTGAGTCACGCGACGTGCAGCCAAAGGACGCTCAGCACAATCTGCATGCGTCTTTAATCAAACCGGGTGATACGCATGGCATCCAAGTTATTCACGAGTGAGCTTGGATGGGTTAGCATATTTCTTGACAGAAGTTGCCTGGCCAAAGGCAGACCGTGTGACACCAGTGATCACGCTACACGCTAATGGAGATGAGTAGAGAAACTGTACACTGTAACTTCGTGTACTTAATTTTGAAGCAGGCGTGGCTAGCAGCAAGTTCACATCCTATTATGGAGGGGTTGGGATTAAAGTTACTTAACCTCCAAGCGTTGACATGTAGTATTTAATCTGAACACGGCATGGTCAATCAGTCCGGATATGTGAAGACGAAACACTCCCAGAAATGAAGGGAGAATCTATAATAGTGGAACACGAAAATAGGA